AATGTTACATTCACATAGACATTAAAGACAGGATCTGGCTCCTCAATGTAAAGCCCCTGGTGAGAACAGATATTCACCTTGGACCAAAGGACTCCAAATGGACTGTGCTCTATAGGGGAGAGTATAACTCAGGCTGTTTAGGAGGTAATTAGAGGGTTCTTTTAACCAGTGTAAAATGTTCACGACTGGCTTATTAAAGGTATACATATTGGCCTGGAGATGGGTGCACCAGATACTGAGTGTACCAGGGTGAAGTAATGAAATACCTGTCTTCATTTAGTTTCCTGGATTAGCCAAGAAAACCTCACCCCAGGACACTGATGTATAGCCAGTCTGCTGTATATATTCATTTACACTATATAGTTTGTGAGTTAGATGAGGAAGTGTACTTCACATAAAACTAGAAGCTGGTAGTTTGGTAAGTTGTGGTTTGACAAATGGTATCAATAATACTCTCAATACTAGAAGTGCACTATAGTTAGAAATAAAACATACAGTACACTTAATACTAGAAATGCTTTCTTGCAAGACATGAAACATACAGTACACTTAATACTACAGGTGCAATGCTGCAGGACATGGAACATGCAGTACACTTTATACTAGAAGTGTACTGTTGTTAGACATGGAACATACAGTACACTTGATACTAGGAATGCTTTCTTGCAAGACATGGAACATACAGTATACTTAATACTAGAAGTGCACTGTTGCAACGTATGGAACATATAATATACTTTATACTATTACTGCTTTGTGCATACTCTATCTTAATAACATTTTAATATCAGCTACTATATCTATACATCAAAAAGTACACCAAATGCAGGAATCAGCAGAACAGTTGTCAGTTTACTGTCTTTCCTTTGATAACAATGCTTTGTATTTGATACAGGTAATTGTTAAATATACCTGATCCATAAAAAATCAAGTCAGGCCAAAGAACAGCTATGTAAACCTAATATTAGCTAATGATTGTGTATCTTGTTTAATGACAACAGCACCAATGATAGATGTTTTTCCCTCTATTGATGAAAAGAAATCACACCATTGAGCCCTTCCTTCATTCTCTAACACTGCTGATTCACCTGTCTAGTACAATGAAATATGAAGCCTATTTTGGGGAAATGTTGGCACAACTCCTTCCCCATGATAAATAATATATGGGTCGTCTTAAATATGCACAGCACAGACATTAATTGAAATTCAGAAATGAACTATATAAGTAATAATAATAATAATTTTGAAGTCTGTTCAAACCTATTTATGAGTCTGTAGAATAGTATAACTTCCTGCAATTTTAATTGATCATTAGAAAAGTTTTGAAATACCATTACGTGTTGGAATAGAAAGGTAGAGAACATTAGCAAGAGCTTAAATTATGGAAGTGTTCCTTGAGATCTCGCCTCACAGAGAGAGTGTGAAAAGAAGTAAAAATGTTAGTTAAACAAAGTGGAATATTGGAGGTACTTGTATGAAGTGCGGAGCTAATGGTTGCCTTCTAATGTACCACCACTCTTATACATTTGTATAAGATGCACTTTGTTCTAAGAGTATATTTCTGAAGTGCTCCTTTGCCATGGCACTGGAAATAAATGTTTTTAGTTAAAGGCAGATTATAAATGATATATGGGGTTTGTTACAGTTTAACAAACAAAAGTTTGTGGAGTAAAATATCAAACAGTATGATAAGGCACTGAAGGAATGATTTGCAAAGAGCTTAAAACAAACCCATCTCATTTTCTCTAATATTAAAACAAACTGGAATGATTTCTACTGTCTATAATTTCTGTAAATGTAGAATTTATCAGGATCTTATGTTTGATGTACAAAAGACATTTTTGTCAGTCCTTTGTTGAAATGAAAGATGATTATCAGAAATGTTCTTTAAAAATCTTGATGCATTAATGGAGAGTCTGTAGAGTGTAGCTGGTTGATGTTAACATTGAAGATAGGAGCCATCTGGACTGCAGACATTGTCCTCACACACCTGGAATGCCTTCATGTTATTGATTAATGTACAATTAGCAATACAGGCGTTATAAATCACATAAACTAGCATTACATTATTACAAATCTTCTAAACCACCTTTAATTTCTCCTCTCTTGTTTGGTATAGCCTCATTAAACAAACGTTCCTTTTATTTCCCTTGTGTGATAATTTAGTCTATTATACGACCATTACTTTTACCTCTCTGATGTGATATCATAGTCACCTAAACCACTATTACTTTTACCTCCCTGATGTGATATCATAGTCACCTAAACCACTATTACTTTTACCTCCCTGATGTGATATCATAGTCACCTAAACCACTCTTACTTTTACCTCCCTGATGTGATATCATAGTCACCTAAACCACTATTACTTTTACCTCCCTGATGTGATATCATAGTCACCTAAACCACTATTACTTTTACCTCCCTGATGTGATATCATAGTCACCTAAACCACTCTTACTTTTACCTCCCTGATGTGATATCATAGTCACCTAAACCACTATTACTTTTACCTCCCTGATGTGATATCATAGTCACCTAAACCACTCTTACTTTTACCTCCCTGATGTGATATCATAGTCACCTAAACCACTATTACTTTTACCTCCCTGATGTGATATCATAGTCACCTAAACCACCATTACTTTTACCTCCCTGATGTGATATCATAGCGGCCTAAACCACCATTACTTTTACCTCACTTATGTGATATCATAGTCACCTAAACCACCATTACTTTTACCTCACTTATGTGATATCATAGTCACCTAAACCACCATTACTTTTACCTCCCTTATGTGATATAGTAATCACCTAAACTACCATTACTTTTACCTCCCTTATGTGATATAGTAATCACCTAAACTACCATTACTTTTACCTCCCTTATGTGATATAGTAATCGCCTAAACTACCATTACTTTTACCTCCCTTATGTGATATCATAGTGGCTTAAACCACCATTACTTTTACCTCCCTTATGTGATATAGTAATCACCTAAACTACCATTACTTTTACCTCCCTTATGTGATATCATAGTGGCTTAATTCACCATTACTTTTACCTCCCTTATGTGATATAGTAATCGCCTAAACTACCATTACTTTTAACTCCCTTATGTGATATCTTAGTGGCCAAAACCACCATTACTTTTATCTCCCTTATGTGATATCATAGCAGCCTAAACCACTATTACCTTTATGTCCCTCTTGAGCAGCAGTTATGATGATGCATGTATCTGCCTCAGTTCATTGATCTGTCAGTGCAATGTTTTATAACATTTTTTGTCATGCTTTCTTAAAATAAACAGTCAATTTTATTACATTCAATTGTGTGCAATGTCCTGGTTTACACTGATTTTAATCTATCTACACGTATGATACTGAGGAAGGTAAGAAACTGCTTGATCTATCTTATACTGTCACATGTACAGCATTCCAATAGTACGTTCATTCTTTAATAGGCAGAGATTGGTTTGTTTTAAAAAATAAAATTGAAATGGTGAACTATTAGTTTGGTCAGAAATTGTTCTGCTCAGAAGCTAGGTTGGGATGTGTGACTCTCTTGTACCAGCATGTTATAGAACCCAGCATAGTTACCTGAAAACAAACACATCTGACAGTTCATCCATTACCCTTCTGTAACAAACAGCTAATACTATCTAATACAATCTAATCCACACAGGGTTGGAGGCAGAATACCATCATTAAAACAGTGGGTGCGGGATTAAAACTTGCCGTACATATTTAATAGCAGATTGTCACTTCCTAACACTGTCTTCATAGAAAAGAAGGCTGCTTTCTGTTACAAGTTGGATATTTGTAGAATTATGAAATCCAAACTGCAACATCTTGGTTATCAGTTATATAGGATGATCTCAATACTTTATAAAGGTTACTAAAATCTTTCTCGTTATAACTTTCCAGTACATATAAATGTATTGAAGTTTATTTACTATAACTTTCCAGTACATATAAATGTATTGAAGTTTATTTATTATGCCCTCATCTATTTAATTGAAAGGATTATTATGGGATGGAGAATTTGACAAATGAAAGTCATAGGGTCAATACATGTAGGTCATTGTTACAATAGATAGTATCACATATAGAAAGTACTTGTCATGATGCTACATGTATATCAATTAAGTGCAATACTAGACCTCAGTGTAAATCACTGGGTAAAAATGTTTTGCTTTAAAGTTGGAGAATGAATTAAAGACATGTTTAGCATCTAGACTGAAATGTCCAGGCCATGTATAAAGAGAGTGATTTATCATTTTAGCCCTGGTGCAGTTTGTTTTCATTTCCTTCTGTGCTAGCCCTGGTGCAGTTTGTTTTCATTCCTTCCTGGCTAGCCCGGGTGCAGTTTGTTTTCATTTCCTTCCTGGCTAGCCCTGGTGCAGTTTGTTTTCATTTCCTTCTGTGCTAGCCCTGGTGCAGTTTGTTTTCATTCCTTCCTGGCTAGCCCGGGTGCAGTTTGTTTTCATTTCCTTCCGTGCTAGCTGAGTAGCAGTTTGTTTTCATTTCTTTCCTGGCTAGCCGGGTGCAGTTTGTTTTCATTTCCTTCCGTGCTAGCTGAGTAGCAGTTTGTTTTCATTTCTTTCCTGGCTAGCCTGGGTGCATTGAGGATTTGTTTTTTTTTTTTTTTTTCTTGTGCATTTTGTTAGTGAGTAAATCTTTGTTAGTTATACCTTAATCGTACCAATCTGATTATGCCTAATGTCCCAGTTAAGGATGAAAGTCCTTCTGATGTGCCCCTTTCCCCTAAATTATACATAATGTATCTATAAAAAGAATGCTTATACACTAATTAATTGGTATTCCAGGAAGTCTTTTAAAGAATTACTTACAGTGTTGGTAGGTGTTTACATAGATTCATGTGGTAAATAATTTAAAACCCGAGATTTTCAATATTTCTTTTCCTCTAATGGTCTTTGACAAAGTTCTAAAAGATAAGATTAATTATAATCTTACAATGTATGATAAAAATGTCTTACCTGTGTCCCAGGCTTCTTACTGCTGATTCCTCTTAATTACTGGTGTGTTTAATTAGACAGTGCTAATTACTTGTGGCTCTATGATAGCGATAGACTCCCCTCCACAGTCTTGCTGCCTCTGTAGCAGTAACAGCCTTGGTGCCAGGAGGAGAGGGAATGTTTATACCGTCAGTATAACACCTGAACTATCCAAGCTTTCCTCAGTTCTACATTATGTATCTTAACAAAGTGCAGGCCTGCTAATGCGTAGTAGGGAAGTACAGCACGAGTCAGAATGCACATTTTTATCTTCAGCCAGAGTTAAACACACACACTCATCTTTAGAGTAGGAAAGTTATTAATGAAAAAATCACTCCTCTTTTTGTAACCACAAAAATAACTTGTTTTTTCTTCCATGTTAGTTTCAGTATATCCTAGCTGCACTAGCCTTCCAAATGACATGTTATATGTTCAGAAATTTTAAACATTTTCATTTGAAGAAAAGCAAAACACAATTCAAGGTAACTATTTCCATTTTAAAGCTATGAATTCTACATCTGTGACTTGTACAAATAAAAATGTTCATATTGTTTCTTATGTGATGGTCAATTGATCTCTGAATCATTCAAAGATTATATGGCAGTATCAAAGTTTGGATTTTTATTTTTTATTTTGAATAAAAAGTATGAGTTGCTTCTTTTTCATTGCTAATATCTTCTTGCATAATATGGATCATAAAACAACTAGCATTGTTTTAGATAGTTTGTGTCATGTGAAACACCATTGTAAGACGATAGGTGTGTCTGTGTACCCACGTTCCCAGGCCTGTTGTGTTACAATAGGCCGCAAGGATCAAAAGCTTCACAACTGCTGACAATAGCCAGGTCAAGTTACCTAGGTCTACAAACAGAAACGCATCACTGTAGCTGACAGTGATCCTAGCATAAACTCTTATCTCCTCATTATAATTAATGAACATAAGTTGGTCTCAGAAACATTTTTCAGTTTGAGTTATTGATTGTTTACTTGACTGGATGTGTATGTTCTTTTGTTATAAGATGAACTTAGGACCCCCTTGGTCAATCACAATGCAGTTTATCTGTGAAAATCATCAAGTGTAGTAATATTGGCAAATAAATTTTGGCTGAATACAATTTCGTATATATCTTTTGTTTTAATGTCTGTGAATGTTCTACCTCAGACACTTATTTCATTGGCTGATTTACCATGGCTGACCTATCATTTTGGTAGAATTTTCATCCAATCAGATTCTTTGTAGTTGAAATACATGGTGATGATATACAGCAATGTATTTTTTGTTAAAAAATCTTGTACAGATTGTTGTTCACAGATTGTTTTACAAAGTTGTTGACGTCATCTCGGAGTTGTGTCATTGTTAACAGTTGCCACAATATTAAGAAACATTGAGTTACTAAGGAAAGACAAATATGGGTACGTACCAAGATTTGTGATACCAACAATCAGTGATCACATTTCATAATTGCATAGTTCGCATAATTCCAATCAATTAATCAAATAAAATACTTCGAAACTTTGTTCTACTTTGTTCTACTTTGTTCTACTTTGTTCTACTTTGTGCTTTCTTAATTTGGCTTACATACATACATTTCATTGTAGTTTCGGATTTGTTTTATTTATTCTGAAGTAAATATAACATAATATTTTGATACCCTCAGATATATAGCGTTACCTTTGGCCTTTACTGTTTTCTCTTTAATGGATACAGATATAGAAGGGTAATTTGATATATAGCTGAATGATTATAGTGATGCAGGTCAACTGGTGAGGAGTTATATGGTCGTTAAAACTTCAAGATTTCTGATTAAAATTTCCACAAAAACAGTAACTTCAAAATTAGAAAGCCATGCCTATTTCCAGCGGGAATTTTTACAGTCAAGACTTGCATTATATTTCAGATTACATACATAGGTTCTTCAGGCAGGAGTTTTCTTTTTTTTATTATTATTAAAACCTTTTCAAATGAAAGGAGACATGTCATATTTAAGTAAAAGTTCTTCTTTAGAAAACCTGCATTTTATTTTCTTAGAATTGTTGTGCAATGCACTGTAGGTATGATCAGATTTTGCCCAGATTTGGTCTGAGGTATTATTGATTGAAGTGGAATCATTTACTTACAAGGATATGGTCCCAAGTCTGGTCTGAAACAATTTTCATGAATATTGAATCAAACATCTGTTTGGCCACAGGGTTTGGACCCAATAAGGAAATCGTTTCAGAAATAATTTGTCATAATTGAAATTCTTTGTCAAATGACGGAATAGTTCAATAGCCAGGTGAGTGATGCATGTCCCTTAGGCCTCTTGTTGTATTTGAGCTATTGATCAGTACATAGACATCTGAACAAAGCAAAGAACAAAGTTCTGAACTTCAACTTGGTTTCCAATGAGAACACCTGTGCCATGTGGATACATCTTAGTTTTATTTATACAATGCATATTACCAGTATCAGTTATGGGGGTATTACATGGGATAGTGTATTACAGATGTGTAATAAGATTTTCTTTTTATACCCATCACAGCTTTTTGACAGCAGATATTTTAGTATGCCATTGATTCCTTTTGTTGTAATATTTTCGAGATCATCTGCAACACTTACATAGCAGCAGTTCTGAAACTTTGTAGGCTTCATCACTTTGACATGAATATGTTTTTCCTGAAAGGCATTTTATTGTACCGTTAAGAAGGTGACAGTCACCCGTTCTCTCATTTCCATATCATTTTCCTCTTCTGTAAAGTAGTGATAGCAGAAGAAATATACCATTTTTTTTTTATTCAGAATTTAAGTCTTTTCTGTCTTTTGGGCAGATTTCTCTGGAACTTGGTATGAAATTGAGTTTTCCTTAAGGACACTTTTGATTTGACAGTTTAGAGAGAGTTATTGCCCTTGATTTTGGTTTCTTAACTTTCAACCAATTGTTTTAAAATTTTGTCATCTTTATTATTAAAGACATCAACCTATGTTTTTCATTGGCATTTTGATAAGACAAACATTGTTTCATTTCAATGCTTTCATTATTTCAGATACTCTTTCTTGTACATCTGTAGTGTGTGAGGGTGGTAGGTACCCTGTCTGGTACCTCTATAGTGTGTGAGGGTGGTAGGTACCCTATATAGTACCTCTGTAGTGAATGAGGGTGGTAGGTACCCTGTCTGGTACATCTGTAGTATATGAGGGTGGTAGGTACCCTGTCTGGTACCTCTGTAATGTGTGAGGGTGGTAGGTACCCTGTCTGGTACCTCTGTAGTGTATGAGAGTGGTAGGTACCCTGTCTGGTACCTCTGTAGTGAGTGAGGGTGGTAGGTACCCTATCTAGTACAACTGTAGTGTGTGAGGGTGGTAGGTACCCTGTCTAGTACTTCTGTAGTGAATGAGGGTGGTAGGTACCCTGTCTGGTACATCTGTAGTGAATGAGGGTGGTAGGTACCCTGTCTGGTACATCTGTAGTATATGAGGGTGGTAGGTACCCTGTCTGGTACATCTGTAGTGAATGAGGGTGGTAGGTACCCTGTCTGGTACATCTGTAGTGAATGAGGGTGGTAGGTACCCTGTCTAGTACTTCTGTAGTGAATGAGGGTGGTAGGTACCCTGTCTGGTACATCTGTAGTGAATGAGGGTGGTAGGTACCCTATCTGGTACCTCTGTGGTGTATGAGGGTGGTAGGTATCCTGTCTGGTACATCTGTGGTGTATGAGAGTGATAGGTACCTTGTCTGGTACCTCTGTGGTGTATGAGGGTGGTAGGTACCCTGTCTGGTATATCTGTGGTGTATGAGAGTGATAGGTACCCTGTCTGGTACCTCTGTGGTGTATGAGGGTGGTAGGTACCCTTCTGGTGCCTGGTTGATGTCCTGCCAGCTTTGTGAAGATGTAGTAAGAAGCGTAGTAAAACGTAAGTGATAGATAGTGCCAAGATTTGTTGATGATCTGTTTTGTAGTAAAGCAGTATCAAACTCTGGCGTTCATCCAGCTGTTTTTCCTCCCAGCATCAGTGGATGTGTGTCGTAGTGTACAGCTCCCTTTATCTACTGCCCCTCCAAAACTGCAGCGATACACATTTTGACTTTACAATAATAGCTTATAGATATAGCACGATGGTATGTTGGCAAGGTTTTTTATAACAAAAGTCCATAATTTATTTTTTCCACTACGATAACATTGGCCTTGATGCGGCATGAAAAGCATGCCACTCATTTTTCATTCTGTGTCTCATGTACTATACAGACCTGTGTGTTCATATCTGTTTATCTATTGTACTTTCATCAACTTTTACCTATAAAATCCTTCTCTTCTTGAATAGCTGACCAGATCTTGACCATATTTCATGACTTGATAACTTGATCAATAAGGATATGATTTCTTGATTTTTCAAAATGGTATCAGTAAAAACAGTTAAATAGTTGTAGTGTGTCAACAGACTTAGTGGTAACTGGATTAAATAGTTGTTTAGTCGGAAAACAAGTTAGGTGATGAAAGGATTGAATAGTTGTTTAGTCGGAAAACAAGGTAGGTGATAAAAGGATTAAATAGTTCTGCTAGATCAACACAATTAGTGGTGACTAGATTAAATAGTTATATAGTGGTTCAACAAGATTAATGATAACTGGATTAAATAGCTGTAGGGGGTCAATGGGATTAGTGTCTACTGGATTAAATAGTTGTATAGTGGGAAACAGGATTAGCGGGACTGGATTGAATAACTATATTGAGCCAACATGACTACTGGTTTCTGGCTGGCATAATGCTAGTTTGAGCAATACAGGGGAGATAACTGTTAAACTTGAACCATTCAACAGATCTGATCAATGTGAAAAAATGAATAATAAGGCAGTTTATTCAGGCTCTGATCAGTACACAGGTACATTCATCACTTTTCTTGTTTGCTACTTTCGTGTTATTATCCCAGCAGTAAAATACAAAAAAAAAAGAATAGCAATATCTGATAAATACAGGATATAAATAAGAAAATAGATATCCCAGGGGAACGAGAAATGTAGATCAGGACCAGTTAATATACATGGAAGTCTATGGGAGATAACTCTCACTTTGACTCCATTTTGAGGCTAAAGTTTAGGGGAAGAATATTAATCATGACAACTGACCTAACATGGAAGTCTATGGGAAAAGACTCTCACTGTGATGCCATTTAGTGG